GCTACACCAGGAAATTAACATCAGCAAATTATGTGCTGTATCATTATATATAGTACATGTTACTAACACTAAAGTGTGCAGAAGAAAACACACAAGCTTTGTCCTAACTCAAATATCTCATAAGTCGGAGACTACCTGTATTTATTTATAAAGTATACATGTTCTACTGTATTAACATATTATGGAAATAATATATATGGTAAGTAGAAAATTTGAAAGGTTTGAATAAATACAAAACAAATAATATTTTTTAAAATAATTGGTTGACATTTAGAAGTACCATATCCACTTAGAAGGAAGTTTAGCTTTAACAGTAGGGTGTATGTTTCAGAATTCAAATGGCCTTTTTGAGAATTTCAGTGTGATGCTGAGCTGTTCCTCAAAGTAGAGTTGACTGTGATGATGTGAATGGAGTAAAGCCCTCAGGACCTTCATTTGTTGATGGAACATAACTCAAAATGAGAAAACACAGCTGTAAACATCCATTAGTAATAGGAATATGGAATGTACGAAAGAATCTAGGAAATTTGAAGTTGTCAGTAGAGAAACGGAACTCATATCTTAGGCATTAATGAGCTGAAATGGACTGGCATTGGCCATTTTGAATCTGACAATCACATGGTTTCCTATGCTGGGAATGACAAATGGAAGAGGAATGACATTACATTCATCTTCAAAAAAAAAATTTCAAGATCTTGAAATATAATGCTGACTGTGATAAGATAATATCCATAAGCCTACTAGGAAGCCCAGTTAATAACACGATTATTCAAATTTATGTATCAACTACTAAAGCCAGTGAGGATGAAATTGAAGAATTCTATCAACTTCATCAGTCTGAACTAGATCAAACATGCAATCAAGATGTATTTGATAATTACTGGTAGTTGGAATGCAAATGATGGAAACAAAAAATCAGTAGTTGGAAAACATGGCCTTGGTGATAGAAATGATGCTGGACATCACATGACAAATTTGCAAGACCAATGACATCTTCATTACAAATACCTTTTTAAAGTAATATAAAAGATAATTATACACATGGATTTCATGAGATGGAGTACAAAGAAATCAATTAACTACAGTTGTGGAAAGAGACGGTGGAAAAGCTCCATGTCATCAGCCAAAACAAGGCTAGGGGAAGACTGTGGAACAGACCATCGCTTGCTCATATACAAGTTCAGGTGGAAGCTGAAGAAAATTAGAACAAGTCCACAAGAGCCAAAACAAGACCTTGAACATATCTCACCTGAATTTAGAGATCATCTCAAGAACAGATTTGGTGCATTAGACACTAATGAACGAAGACTAGAAGTTGTGGGATGGCATCAAGAACATCACACTGAAAGAAAGCAAAAGGTCATTAGGAAGAGACAAGAAAGAAGGAAAAGACAACATGGATGTCAGAACAGACTCTGAAACTTGCTCTCCAGTGTAGAGATGCTAAAGCAAGTGGAAGAAATGAGGACATGAAAGAGCTGATCAGATAGTTTCAAAGGGCAGCTCCAGAAGACAAAGTCAAGTCTTCTTTGTCTTGACATATAAGGAAATGTGCAAAGACCTGGAGTTAGAAAACCAAAAGGGAAGAACATGCTCAGCATTTCTCAAGCTGAAAGAACTGAAGAAAAAATTCAAGCCTCTACTTGCAACACTGAAGGATTCTAGGGCAAAGTACTGAATAATGCAGAAAGCATCACAAGAAGATGGAAGAAATACACAGAATCACTGTACCAAAAAGAAATGGTTGATGTTCAACCATTTCAAGAGGTAGCATATGATCAAGAGCCAGTGGTACTGAAGGAAGAAGTCCAAGGTGCACTGATGACATTGGCAAAGAACAAGGCTCCGGGAATTGATATAAATTGCAATATTTCACCAAACTGATGCAGCAGTAGAGGCACTCACTCATCTATGCCAAGAAATCCGGAAGACAGCTACCTGGCCAACTGATTGGAAGAAATCCATATTTGTGCCCATTCCAAAGAGAGGTGATGCAGCAGAATATGGAAATCATTGGACAATACCATCAATATCATAATGCAAGTAAAAATTTAGTAAAGATGATACAAAAATGATTGTAACAGAACACTGACGGGGAATTGCCAGAGGTTCAAGCTGGATCCTGATCATGACGTGGGATGAAGGACATCATTGCTGCTATCAATGGAACTTGGCTGAAAGCAGAGAATACCAGAAGAAAGGTGTTTACCTCTGCTTTATTGACGATGCAAAGGCTTTTGACTGTGTGGATCATGACAGGCTATGGACAAAATTGCAGAGAATAAGTATTCCGGAACACTTAATTATGCTCATGAGGAACCTGTATATAGACTAAGAGGCAGTTGTTTGAACAGAACAAGGGAACACTGAGTGGTGTAATATGAAAAGATGCATGCCAGTGTTGTATTCTTTCACCGTATGTACTCAGTCTATACTGAGCAAATAATTCAAGGAACTGGGTTATATGAAGAAGAATGTGGCATCAGGATTGGAGAAAAACTCACTAACAAACTGCAATATGCAGATGATTCAACCTTGTTTGCTGAAAGTGAAGAGAACTTAAAATACTTACAGATGAAGATCAAAGACAGCCTTCAGAATGGTTGCACCTTAATGTAAAGAAAACAAAAATCTTCACCACTGGATCAATAAATAATATCATTATAAATGGAGAAAAGACTGCTTTTGTCAAAGACTTCATTTTCTTGGGTTCACTCTCATCTCTCATGGAAGCACTAGTCAAGAAATCAAGCGACGTATTGCACAAGGCAGATCTGCTACACAAGACCTCTTTAAAGTATTCAGAAGCAAAAATGTCAGTTTGAGGACTAAGGTATGCCTGACCCAAGCCGTGGTGTTCTGAATAGTTTAATATACATGTAAAAGTTGGGCAATCTATAAAGTATGTTTGAATTGATGCATTTGAGTTATGGTGTTTATGGTGTTGGAGGAGAATATTAAAAGTACCGTGGACTGCCAGAAGACCAAACAAATCTGTTGGAGGAAGTACAGCCAGAATGTTCCTTAGTAGTCAGAATGGCAAGACCTTGTCTCTCATACTTTGGACATCTTATCAGAAGGGACCAATCATTGGAGAAGAACATCATGCTTGGTAAAGTGGAGCATCAGTGAAAAAGAGGAAGACCTCCAGTGAGCTAGATTAACATAGTTTTAGCAGCATTGGGTTCAAGCTTAGCAATAATTGTGAGGGTGGCATAGGACTGGGCAATATTTTATTCTGTTGTGCATAAGGTTGCTATGAATTGGAATCCACTCAACTGCACTTCAACAAAAACAGTCTTGTCAGTTACCACTAGACTGCCGCTACCTCTAGTCCTGGTGTAGCTCCGTAGGACTAACTACAAGGTCTCAATCCATGCTTATTTTGCAGAGCTAAGCAGTTCAAACCCATCAGCCGCTCCTCAGAGACCCAACACAAGGTTGCTATGAGTCAGAACCAACTCAAAGGCACTGCTACCACCCCCATCACCTAATCCTCACTTATCTGAAAATGCACATTCATAACTATAGTGAAAAATCTACTACATGACCATTTTGCACATTAGCGATATACAGGTGGCAGTAGTGAATACTGAGGTGGGAGGCAGGAACAACTGGCTGTGATGGGTAAGATCATGTGTCAGCTTAGCTGGGCCGGGGTTGCAGTGGTGTGGCAGTTCAGTTACGGAATGATGTAGTCATCCTGTTTTGTGATTTGATGTGACCATCCACTATTTGCACATAAGGACCTAGTCTTAGGGATAAGTGAGGTGATGGTTGTGTACCATCGAGTCGATTCTGACTCAGAGTGACCCTGTATAGGGTTTCTGAGGCTATAAATCTACTCGGGAGCAGTGGATTTAAACGGCTGACCCAAGGTCAGCCCAATGTGTAACCCGTTATGCCCCCAAGGTTCCTTGATAAGTGAGGGGTGGTATATTTTAATGTCTCAGCAAGAGCACCTGTTAGCAGTTGGAGACGTGTCAGGTCTGCCTTTTCTTGTGGCTCGCTGGCCTTGACATCAGTGAGGTTATTTATCTTCACTTCATGGTAATTCTCAGCAAGCTTATTAAAGCCACCCAATCCATTTTGTAGCGTTTGTTAAACTGAGATTGTCTCCTGTTGTATCTTAATCTGATAGCCTGTAAGAAAATGAAGAAGTAAGGATGCCTCTCAGCCCTGGTGTGTGATAAGCACTGAAGTGTTAACCTCACGGTTGGCAGTTCAAACCCACCAGTTGTTCCTCGGGAACTCTGCACAGGATTGCTATGAGTCAGGACCGACTTGATGGCACACAAAAACAACAAGGGTGCCTCTAACAGCTCAATTTTAAAATGCTGTTTTTATTACTGGTTCCAACTCACGGTGACCCCCCCTATGTTTCAGAGTAGAACTGCTCCATAGCATTTTCAAAACTTTGACCTTCTGGATAGGTTAGTAAATCTTTCTTGCTTTCTTTCTCTCATTCTCCTTCCTTTCTTTCTTTGTTCTGATACAAATGAATATAACTAGCAGTTCTGTTTTGCCTGCATCTGAATGTTGCATTGTGTACCCTGTGGGACCCACCACTGCAGTAGTGATGTGAACACATGTAGTGTTAGCGCATTCGAATGCTGAGAGGCAGGATGTCAGAGAGGCAAGGGAGGTCTTGGCTGGGCCCCTTTAAAACTAGCTTAAAGCACTTGTTGCAAACAGGATCTGAGCCAGGCTTGGGAGGTGACTCTTGTACTCTCTCAGCCAGAAACCACATGAGCTGAGCCTAGGGCTAGGGTTCTCCAGGGCTCTTAGCACAGAGCCTCTCCTTAGAGGCCCAGCGGGGACAGCGGCTCATCCGTCCAGGGCTCACTTGACCTTCTCCCCCGTTCTCTTTCAGATCCAGGGTGACCCTAGCCTGTGTGGGGACAAACCCTCCGTCTCTGCTGTCACCATGGAGCTAAGCAAAGAAATGTTGGACACAATGTTAGACGGGCTGGGCCGCATCCGAGACCAGCTTTCTGCCGTGGCCAACAAGTGACCCTGACCAGCTGCTTCCCGCGTCCCCACACCAGGCCTCAGTGACTGGTCAGCAGCGGGCGCACCTCCAGTTCAGGCTGCCTGCCATAGAGCTACAGCCCACAGCAGGCAAAAGGGTGGGGGCACGGGGCGGCCGCCCTCCGATGTCCTGGTCGGAGTGAAAGGAAGCCACCAAGCTCCTGACCCATGTTTTTTTCTTTCTGTTTCTGAAGCTGGTGAGCAGAAGCCCCCATGTTTGAAAGACCACCCCTTCTGTGTGATTTAATTACTGCTGTGGCAGCGTGAAGGAACATTTACTTCATCAGCTGCCTCTATATGGCTGTTTGGGAAATTCAGGCCCAAACTGTGGAGCTTGTCTAATAAGTTCACTGCCAGCATTAGCTCTAATTAGTTCATTTCCAGCCCTGGGACACACGCAGTGAAGCAGGTGGGTGACCTAGCTGCGCCTGCTGCTTCTCTCTAGGAGAAACCAGGCACGCCCCACAAAGCAGGGCCCCTGCAGAGCAGCCTGCCCGCCTGCCCCCCCCCCCCAAGTCTCCGCCTCTTCAGCATTGGCAGTCTGAAATGGGGCCTCATTCCCTCCTCCATGAAACCAGGGCCGCTTCCTTGGTAAAGTAGAGCCACTCCAGGGTGAACTGTAGAAATAAATGACATTTCTAAAGTATTCGCGATTCTAGTCATGTTGTCTTGTAACTCCTGTCCTTGCCATGTTGTTGCTTTAGGCCACTGCCACCTCTCTTTCTTAAAGATGATCCCAACCTCCCAATCCCCAACCAAGTCCACAACCCCTGGGATGACATGAAACCAGGCCTAGGAACCTCAGCCACATCCATGGTTGACCATCAGTGTTGGCTTGTGACAAGAGTTACAATGAAGGCACGTCTGTGTCAGCTCTCTAGTGTTGCTGTGACAGAAATGCCACAAAAGGATGGGTTTGGTGGTGGTGGAGGTGGTGTGCTGTGAACTCCGTTCTGACTCATAGCAACCCTGTGTAGGATTTCCAAGGCTGTAGATCTTTACCAGAGAAGAAAGCCTCTTTTTTCTCCCTCTGAGCAGCTGGTAGATTTGAACTGCTGACGAGCAGTCCAGGGTTTATTCTGTAGCACCACACTGGGAGTCCGGGGACACGGTTTGTTGTTGGTGGTAGGTGCCATCGAGTCAGTACAGAGCCATAGCAACCCTGTGCACAACACAACGAAACACTGCCCGATCCCTAATTATAGTACCTTACTTTATAGGACTTCTGTGAAAATCAAATGACCCAAATGATGGGTCTAAAAGCATTCTTACAGCAATACTGTTAGCTTTGATTATTAATAGGAATGAAACTCGAAAGCTCACTGCAGAAACTGTTCTGTCTGCTGTGCAGGACCGAGAGGAGAATGAATGTCATTTCTCCTCCTTTTATGGATGAGGAAACCAGCTCATTGAGGTTAAGTTGCCTGCTGGTAAATGGCCTCATTAGGACTTGGGCCCAGATTTCTCCAGCTTTCCCTCCACGACACGGGCTTCTGGAAAGGTCGGGTGGTGACATTACTGCATTTGGAAAACGCTGAGATTGAGGGAGAGGTGAGACATCTTACCTCTGGCCACCCAATCACTCTGGGAAAGACAGAGAGAAAACTCCAAGTTCCTTTTTGTCTCCTTTTCCTGGAAGCTGAGCGGCCTTCTTTTTAAACAGTGGCTCTTAAGTCTTTGGGAGTCAGATCCATTGAGAATCCTTTCTGCAGGAAATGAACATCCCCCCATTTTTGCAAGGCTCCTGTCTTCTCGAAGTCCACCACTACTTCCATAGGCAGAGATCTACACATTCCTGTTCTCTTGGCCTCTCGTGCACATCTGTGAGAAGCTCACCTGAAGCAGGAGTCCAGCATAGGTGCCAGGAGACTTGAACTCGGCTTTAGCTTGACCTACCATAACAGATTTTCAACAGATGTTTACAGCTGTTTCTCTTCATTTTGAGTTGTGCCCCATCAGCAAATGAAGGCTTTTCTCCCACGGACTTTACTCCATTCACGTCATCATGGTCAACTCTACTTTGAGGAGGCAGCTCTTGCCCGGTCGCATTTTGAGTGCCTTCCAACCTGAGGGACTCATTTTCTGGCACTATATCTGACAATATTTCTCTGCTATTCATAAGGTTTTCAGTGACTAAAGATTCAGAAGTA